ATCTCTGCCCAGTAACATAACATCCTACATTCAGTTATAGTTATATATATATAAAACTTGAGAGTTAAACTACAACATAGATAAATGAACTTACCCTACTCAATAGATAAAAGAATCTATTCTTCTTGTTTATCTGTTTGGAGACAGGATCTGACTACTATGTATCTCTGGCTAACCTGGAACTCACTACCTTTGCAAATCTGATATCCAGGTTCTATTCCTAGAAGCCATGAAAAGTGATGAGTGAACAGACTCCACCAACTAGTCCTCTGACCTCTACCTCACACTGTGGCATGCACATGCACATGCTCATGCACACGCACGCACACACACACACACACACACACACACACACACTCACACTCCGATAATAAAATTTTGAAAGAATTTAAGAGAGATTTTAAATAGTGTCTTAGAAAAACAAGAACAAGCCTATTTCAAAAACATAAGACAAAGAAATAACAAAGACCATGGAAGAAAATAATAGGTGGAGATACATAGGACAAAATACCCAAAAATCGCAGGGCTGATTGCTAATACAATGAAGTTTAAAAAAAAAAAGGAAGAAAGAAAGCAAAAAACAAATATAAGGCTAGCAAACCCTAGCCAAACAGACAGAGAGCACACAATTTAATAAATTTAATAAATAAAAGCAGTGAAGCATGAGCAAACAGGAAATACCTTGAAAACCCTGGAAAATGTAAAAAAATGGTTAAAACCTGCCAAAATTAAATAAAAAGAATATAATCAACTTGAATACATCCACAATAAGTGACTGAAGCAGAAATAATAATAACATTTACTTATTACTAAATAATAGTAATAATAAAAACCCAGCTCACAGTCTGTTTCAAGAAGCAGCAAGGAATAATACAATTAATAAAAGACCATACAATTACGTGATCACCCTTTCTGAGCCCACAGCCTTTTTTCATACTAAGCAAGGCTGGAAAAGCTTTCCAAATATTCCAGTTTTCCCTCAGGAATAATAAACTAAACAGACAGTACCAAAAATAAATAAGTAAATAAACTATGTGTCGGGACCCATAAAGATTAGGCTGCTCTCCATCTTGCTCAAGGTCACAGAGTTTAAAACTGTCCTTAATAAGTCAAAAAACCTAAAGTCTAAGGCTGGGCTACTACAGGATCTTTCCAGCCTTGGTTAGAGGATGTCTTAAATAAATAACAACAGACTTGGGATCAGGTGTGTTCACTCTTGACCCTGAAGGCCCAATGGCAGGTGTGGCTAACAAATGCCTGGAGATTTAAGGGAAGTAATTTTGTTTGCTTCCTACACAGGATAAATAGACATCTTCTGCCATGTGCCTCTTTCTGGTTTGGTACTTAAGAATGTTGAAGAATAAACTAGGGGCATTCAGTGATCACAGGATTGCCCTCCTGACTCTGCCCCACGTCTCTATCCTTCTCTTAGTGTCTTTACCTACCCTTTCTCAATCCACACTCCCCCTCTCAGGTACGAGCTGGGCAAGTCATCTGGCTCTGACTGCATGCCCACAAAAACAACAGGCTACACAACTATGAAGAAAATTTAAATTTCTCAGCAGAAGAAATTTAAGGATTGAGTAATGGGCATGAATTCAAAGGTAAAGACTCTTTATGAGGAGACCTAGGGTTCAATCCCAAGTACTTAAGGAAGTCACAGACAGTATTCCTGACAGTTGGGAGCTGGAAAAGATGTCCTAACACTCTGTGGGCTCCCTAGTCACTTGCTTCCTTATTAAGTTGAACCAAGAGGCTGGAAAGATGACTGAGCAGTTAAGAACACCTTCCTATCTCCCAGAGGACCCAAGGTCTATTCCCAGTTGGGCAGCTCAGAAACCACCTGTAACTCAGCTCCAGGAGGATCCAATACCTTGGACCCCTGCGGGCATCTGACTCATGACTCCACACCCAGTCACCCAATTAAGACCAAAAAAAAAAAAAAAAAAAAAAAAAACCACTTTGGGGAAAAGAAAATCCAAAAAATGGACTCAAACTGAAAATTCTCAAAAGAAGAAACATGTAGCTATGAGAAGAAACACTTTAAAGAGAGCTCAACATCTTAGGCATCAGGGAGATGAAAATAACAACTGCTTCACATCAGACAGGCCACTATCAGGAATACAAATGTCAGTAAGAGCTGGTGTGAATGTAGCAAAAGGGGAACCCATACTGTTCATGGGGGTGTAAATTAGTGCAGTAACTTTGGAAACCAATCAGAAGGTTTCTCAAAATATTTCAAATGGAACTGCCACATGATTCAGCTATAACCACCCCTGGGCTTATACTCAGCAGACTACATCCTATTATGAAGATGCATGCACATCCATGTTCATTGCAGCTCTATTCACAATGACAAGAACAGATTCAACCCAGATGTCCATCAGTAGACAAATGGATTCAGATATAAAGAAAAAAAAAATGACATGTGCAGGGAAATTGAACTGGAAAAATATATAGTGAGTGATATTGTAATGTTAGCAAGAAAAATACTCTATGTTCTCTCTTTTATGAAGATTCTAACTCCAAGTCTTGTTTAATGTGTTTAACTTAGAGAACAAGTAAAAAGCAGGAAACTAGAAAAAGCCCCTTTGATTTGCGAGGGGTATGCTAAAGGGGGAAGTATATATAGTAAGTAAAGAGAAAGTAATGGTGGCATAATGATGGAGAAACGGCTTATGAGAATCCAGGGATGGAGAGGGGCTAACTCATATGGAAGCCTAACTTTAACAACTAAGTGAAGGGTAACAGAATACATGCAAAAGTACCTGTGCATGAGTGTGGAAGTACAGGTAATTAAAGGGTTAAGTGATGATAGGGTGAGGGGGTGAAAAGGAGGGAGTAGTCAGTCAGTAGGTGAACCCAAACTGAGAATGCATAAAACCCCTTTTGGTAACCCACTAGCTAGTAAACTAATTTCAAAATACAACTTAAAAAAAAAAAAAAAAGTTCAAACACAATTACCCTGTGGGGGTGGACAATCTTGCTTCTAGAAAACAGGAGTTATTAAATGAAAATTACAGAGATACCTCCTTGGGTCAGGAAGACCCCAGGGGTTTCCAGAGTAACACAGACTACTGCCATTGCTTTTGGTTACCAAACACAACTATGCTATAAAACAATATTGCTAAACAAATCACACTTTGGCTGCAGGACATAAGAATTCTTGCTGCTACCTAGCTTTCAAGATTCAGAAAGAGCTATTAAGGGTGCTGGGGTAAGTCTTACTTACCTAATGCTGGTCCTCATGAGGCAATGCCAAACTGCTAAGCAAGACAAGCCCCTGGAGCAATGGTACCACAAATGTTACAAGGGTGACTAACTACTTAAACTGTATTTGAGGCCCACTCCACAGGATGAAATTTCATGCCTGGTACTGCATGTTGAGGAGGTCATGGGCCCTAGGGTAGAACCTGCCTTTGTTGTTTCGTGAAGTAGTCATGCTGTCAAAGTGCCTTCTAAATATTGTAGACCTGGCCACTGACCCACAAACCTAGTTAAAGTAGCTTCTCTCTGCAGTGGGCAAAGCTGTCTCAAACCCTGAGACAAATGGCAGAGGTGCCTACTTAACATATTAAAGCAAACCTTGCAGGCAGGAGCTCCTTGCATCCCTCTTCCCCTACCTGTTCTAAGGTCCTCCTGGCTTGTACTCAGTCAGTCCTTACCCTGAACTCTGGGGGGAGGGGCGGGGGGGAGTGCGGGTGGGGATGGGGAGGGTGCAGGTGGAGGAGATGGGTGGGGATGGGGAGGGTGCAGGTGGAGGAGATGGGTGGGGATGGGGAGGGTGCAGGTGGAGGAGATGGGTGGGGATGGGGAGGGTGCAGGTGGAGGAGATGTTCTTCCCTATATGATCTAACCACTATGGCTCCCTAACCTTATTGTACCTTTTGCCTCCTGGCTGCTGCTGGTTCCCCTCTGCTAACATGGCACATGATTATATCCACTCTGGACTCTCCCAGATGTCTCTGCCCCTGGCTATGCGCTCCCTTTTATCTACAAAAAACTTTCTCCGCCACCACAGGGGCAATCATGCCCTTTCTTTTTTATCTTTTTTTTTTTTTTCCATTCAGGCAGCAATCAACACTGAGATGAATAAAAGGTAAAAAACTGCTCACAGCAAAAGGCCAAATGCTCCGTCCTAAATGGGGTACCTAAACTTACCCCCAGCCTCCTCCACCACTGCTCAAGGAACATCTCAGAAGAGGAGGCAAAAGAAATAGAAGAGGCTGAGGACGCCGTCTTTTTGACGTGACAGAGCTACTGTACCCATGAGCTTGGAGCAGCTGTGGCCACCTGCACAAGATCTGGTATAGATGGGGAATGTTGTACAGTACTCGGGAGTTAATGGCAATTAACAGTTTTCTGCAGAATCATTCTGTTTAAAGAAAATAGCCACTGATAGGATTCCCTTTCCAAACATGCATGCACATACTAGCAGAACTAATGGCTGGATTTATTATTATTATTATTATTATTATTATTATTATTATTATTATTATTATTAATTTGGAAGGGTGTGCTTGAGTATAGTGGTGTGCTGGAAGGAGGGACAGGGTGGATATGATCATATTTTATTGTATATACGCATAAAAATGCCAACATTACAGAAAAACCCAGAGGGATCACAGGGGTAAGCTAAAGCAAGTCAAACGGGAGTGCAAGGACAAGAAAACAGCGCTCAGCAACCACGCCCTTCACAGCACAGCCTGGGGTCTCAGCAGGACTAACCCGCCAGCACCGCAATGTCTACCACGGCTCAAGTTCAAGACCTCGACAGCACCTGGACTGGAGTGAAACGGCTTCACAGAGACAGTGCAGGATCCCAGACTCCCTGCTGCTTGCTCCGCTCACACTTTAAGAGCAGGAGGGGCGACAGCTCAGGGGCTGCATCTCAGACTCAGCTGCTCAACTCCAGGGGAACGTCAGGGCAGCGGAGCCACATTACGCCAAAGCCACAGCAGAGCCACAACCCCGCCACTAACAACTCCAGGGGCACTCACCATTTCCTGTTTCTGATGCACCCAGGTCCCCCTCGTAAAGGGCCTACCATCAGCTGGAGGCATAGTCAACAAGGTCGGGGGACCTCTCAACCGCTTCTGGAACTCAAACATGGCGGTAACGGCCACACCTTCCAAATATCCGTGCTTCTCATTGGACAGTTAATGCAAAGTCACAACAGAGTCCCTGGTTGGCGAATGATATGCGCAGTGAAGGGGGGATGGTAAGGAGAGGCGATGGGGATTTGGGAGGGTTGGGGGATTGTAGGATGGGTATGGGTTGTGGGTGGGGAACCATTTTATAACCTAGAAAACACGCCTTCCTGCAGGGGTACAACTGTAACGACAGGTTTCCCCCGTGGCCTGTTCTACCCTGTTTCCTTCCTGGAATAAACCTGGTCCAACCTGGGGTAACCTTGCATTTAGGGAAAAACATGTTTGGGTTTTTAGAGACTCTTCCCTGGTGTATTTAGTGGGCCACGATGGGTTCTTCCACTTAGAAATAGTGCCAGCAACCACATTCAGTACCTTAGGAGTACAAGGCATGAAAGCAGGGGAGAAGAGGTCCCTAGGTCAGTCTAGACACAGGTTTGGGAAGAATCGTCTGGTGTGTACGCTCAAGGATGATGCATGCGAACCAAAGCTGAACCTTCTGTAAGGCCCGTTTACAGATGAGAACATCAAACATAGGAGACACTTTGGAGTGTTACAGGTCCATTACTTTGGGCCCTTCTTAGCCCTCCGAATAGCCATCTGTGGCCATCTTCTGTACCTGACCTAACAACTTTCTATTATGTAAGTCGTTTGGAATGTACAATAGAACAGTACTCTCCTTTGGAATGTACAGAGCACGAATTTTCTAACCAACCAAAAAGACAAGAACACAAGATCAAACTGCATCTGAAGTCTAACGTTTCCAGCAATGATTTTTTTTTAAGTGTCTTGATTTTATGATTTTTTTCATTCTGTCGCTATAAAACATCATATTTGCTGGAAGGAGGGACAGGGTGGGTATGATCATATTTTATTGTATATATGCATAAAAATGCCAACATTACAGAAAAACCCAGAGGGATCACAGGGGTAAGCTAAAGCAGGTCAAACGGGAGTGCAAGGACAGGAAAACAGCGCTCAGCACCCACGCCCTTCACAGCACAGTGGGAATAATCTAAATTCTGTGTTTTTTGGCCGTGATCACATATATTTAGCTTCAGAATAGATTCCCTTTGAAGTGAATATTGCTTTTAAGTTGACAGGCTGGTGCCCAAGGCTTTCTCACCTCTTATCCTTTTATCTATCCACTGCAGGCAAGATAATTAAAACACACCAAGAAGGATATAATTACTCAATTGAAGTGTGTGAATGTGTCTCTCTGTATGTAGTTACATTGTAGCAATAGTATATAAAGGATTCAAAAGGTATGTAAGGGAACCCTTAAAATTCTTCAAAATGAGAGGTTTCTATGTCGAAGATTCATAGACGAGCCTACATGTACAAGTGCAAACATTCCCAAGCCCCAGGATCCCACGAGCAGCTGACATGAGATCACCAGAGTGGTCATTCACAATTGATGAGTTAGAGACATTGTTCTTACTGGTTAACTCTGGGAGCTCACTAGGACATCTTTCAGTTCCTCCATTATAAAATCTTTCTTCAACACCTTAGTATTCATAAGAACAATGCAATCCCCATTTGTATTAATATTTAAACCCCAAAAAGCTACTACAGTAGAGGGACTATTAGAGAAAGGCAGGAGGATATAGGAGGCTAGGCATGAGAGAGGGAAGAATAGTGTCATGAGGTCACATATGATCAATTCATGATATATCACAAGGAAAGCCATTAATGTGTTTAAAAATGTGGTCTAATAAATTGGCTAATTAGATTTTGAGTGATGTTTTACTATTTTTATTTGTGAGACAAGGTGCACCATACCTAGATTGGAACTTGGTATGTGGACCAGACTGTCTTCAAACTGTGAAAATCCTCTTTTCTCAAATCCCAAGGGATTGGATTATAGGTATGTGGCACCTGGAGTACACAGCTCATCAGAAAGAAAAGAGAGAGCTGTGTCCTATAAATTGTCTCAATATTCAGACACCCAAGGTAGCATGCACGTGTGAACACACACATACACACACACACATGTGCGCGTGTGCATGACAACAATCTTAAAATATGCCACTTATATACTACACCAAGGAAAGGACAGAATATCAAATACTGAAGGCTAGTTTTCTGAATTATACCATTAAGTCAAGGAAAAGGAGAAATTATAATCACGTTTTTTAAGATTTCCTGTGCATGATTAAGAGAACAACCTTTTAAAAGTGTTTGGTACCTAAGTAGTTGCTGACATAGTACTTACAGAAGGAATAAAAATCTTGAGTATCACAAAATTATTTAAAGTATTTTTATTGAAGAATATTTTCATGCAATATATTGGGATTATCTTATCAAGGCATCCTTTGGCTTTTAATATAAGGTATGTATCAAGCAAATACTACTTTTCTACTTAAGTTGAAATCAGTCTTTAATAAATTTCATTAAGGATATTCAACTATTTCAAATTCTGTAATGTCTGATGTTCAGTCTTGTTCACTGTGACATAGACAATGTTTTTCAAAAGTCCAAAAGCAACAGTGTTGCAGAACCTTATGTTATTGTATGTTGTCATGGAGACCTCTTGATGAATAGTCACTGCTTTATTTTTCACAAATTCTTAAAGAACAAAAGACAATACTATATTTTCCCTTGGGACCATGTCTTTCTATGCGGTCAAGTTTGCCTCAAGCATGACAGCCTGCTGACACTGCCTGTGGAATACTGTAACATTCAAGAGTCACTACACTGACGTGTAACAATTTCCTCGCCTAATCATCAAAGTGCTGTAATGATCTCAATTTTTTTTGCAGAACCTGGTAATTAAGAGAGATTGTGAATATGAACATGGTAATCAGTGTGCAGAAGCCCAGCAAGATATTCTAGAATGCATTGGTAATGAAGACATATCTCCTGTAGTAGCATTATATGAAAGCAGTTTGTATAAGAGTCTTCATTGCCCATTCACTGTTATATCTGCACTCCAAAGGTAATCATGAAGGGAAACCAAATGGGTATCAGATGTGGAAAGGGATTTAAACATAAAAAATGTTGGAAAATTTTTACTCATTATGAGTCGTTCTGACTCTTTTACCTTACCTGGCAAAGCATCCTCTGACATAACATGTTTGCCTCATCCTCAGTGACTTTGACATGCTTCTTGATAAACACTGGTGGTCAAATTTACCCAAGAGAAGTCTACCCCTGGGATTTTACTTTTTTTGGATGAAATCACTGTGACTGTCTGGAGAAGGAAATATGCAAATATATTCTGTAGCATTTATTTGTAGAGACTGTGTTATAGCTTTGATGGAAAAGATTTTCCCAGTGGAAGTGTTACATCTCTGAAGGTTGAGGTACCCTGGCAGCCAGGAGTCAAGGAATACCCCAAAGTAACACCACACAACAAAATCTCACACAGGAGATTTATTGAGAAAGGCCTCTCTGCTCCAGCAAGAAGTAGTAGGGAACTGAAGGAGATACAGGCTTGTAAAGGGTTTCTTAGTGGAGTTTCCCAGGGTGGAAATTTCCAGGGAAGGCATTGGTGGGATTTCAAGTCCTGAGCTTGGGGCAAGCCCAGTGGAGTTTTAAGTTTAGGGATTTGTGGATTTTCAAGATCAGAGATTGGTAGATTTGGGAGCTCAGGTATTGGTTGTAGGCAGATTTTTCTGCCCTCCAGTCAGTTCCCAAATAACCAAACAGAGACTTATATTAATTATAAATGCTCAGTTGGGTAGCTCAGGCTTGTTGCTAACTAGCTCTTGCGTTTTAAATTAACCCATGTTTCTTATCTACACTGTCACCTGATGGTATCTTCTTGCAACATGGAAAGTTCGTCTTGCATCTTCTCCACTTCTCCTCTCAACTTTGAGACTCCTCCCTTCTTCCTCTTTATGTTCTCTTTTTGTCTGCAAGTCCCACCCAATCTCTCCTGCTATTGGCCAGTCAGCTTCTTCATTAAACCAATCACAGTGACATATATTCATACAGTGTAAAGAAATATTCTACAACTGCTACAACTGGTGGGTTTTGTTGATTTTTTCCAACCAGGAAGCAAGTTCAGACCTTTTACCCTACAGAGCCTAAAGGAAAAAAAATGATCCAGAATTCTCCAGGGGAGAGGACAGGCTCATCAGGAAGTCTCGGGGTGATAAGAGCTACAATTTTAGTCATTATCAAAATGATAAACACAAATATACACAGACACAAAACAAAGCAAAATGGAACAGAAGTACATGAAAATGCCTTTTAGTTCATTTTGTGTTCACTATCTACTCCTGGGCATGGGACCTCCCCTGAAGTCTGCTTGACATACCCAGTGCATAAAAATGGCTTCACTTCATCTTGGCTTAAAGTCAGAGAGTTCCAAAATCAAAGCCGTAAAACCTAAAGGTCTAAGGCATGGTTACTATAGGATGTTTTCTCTTAGGCATAGATAGATATCTAAATGACAACAGACTTGGTCTAAGGTGTGGTTACTCTTAATCCTCAAAGCCAGATAACGAGAGGTTTAGTCTAAGGTGTGGTTACTAAATGTTTGGAGAGTTAAGGAAAAGAGTCTGTTTGTTATTCGTATCATGATAAAGAAGTCTTTTGCCACCCCCCTTTTTGTATTTGGGTATATTAGAATGAGAATAAATTTGGAATATTCAGTATTCACTGGTTTGCCCTCCTAATTCTATTCTTTGTCTCTGTCTTTTCCTTGGTGTCTTTACCTGCCAATTCTCAATCCACATTTCCCCCCTCAGGTATAAACTTGACACACAAACATGGATTGCAACACATTGAAGAAAATTGATTTCTCCTTTGCAAATGTGTATCAATTGCAGACAGCTTCTTGGTTAAAGGTGTCCATTTCCCCCTCTCAGTGCTGGGTCCCCATCTGTGTTGAACCTGTGCAAGTCTTGTATGTGTTGCCATAGTCTCTGTGAGCTTATACATGTATCAGTCCTGTTATGTCTGGACAACAGTTTCCTTGGAATCACTCTCTGCCTCTTACAATCTTTCTGACTCATTTTCTGTGTGGAT